ATTCACAAGGAAAAGGATTGCAAATGTATCTTGTCCATTTTCTGCTGCTGGACTTCTGATAGTCCTCCCAGATGGCCCATCCTGAGTGTGGGCATCAACAGAGGGATTACGAGGGGTTGGTGATACCGTGGCTTATTGTTAAAGCAAGTAAGAGAGGCTCTGTCAACAGTGTAACACAGCAGGATGTGGAAAACAGAGTTTTTTCATCTCCTTTTGAGTAGCTGAAAACAGGATGATATGCTCTGAACCTCCTGTGTTATGTCTGTTATTTTTCTCCACTTTTCCTTGCATACTCTCCAAGCTGTTGGTATCTTGGCTGTAACTGGTCTACAGCAGGGAAATGGAATTTGTCCTGAACTTTCATTTCCCTTTTATTACAGTCCACCAATCTTTCCTCTTTCTGTCATACAGAGATAAATATTGGTTTTGGAATTAAAGAGCATGTCAAGACTGGACTCTCTAGGTTGTCTCAATAATTTCATACAGTTTGTTTCATGTGACGATATTAATAAACATCTCTCATCTCAATGCATACCCTGAGCACGGGTAGGACACAGAGCCATTCTGACAGCCACAGCTGTGCTGTGCTCCCCTCAGCTTGGGGAATGTGTTGCTGAGCCCCACAGGCTGGTCAGGGACCTCCTGCCTTTTCCCAGCAAAGTACCCTGCTCTGGACCAGATTGGGTCAGGAAAGTCTCATTTAACTCCATCTCCTAAATCACTGCTCTGTGATTGCAGATTTTCACAATTTATCCATTTAAAGGAGCAGAACAGCAGAAGATTTTGGTAGATTGAACTTGGTTAAGTAAAAGAGTGCTGCTTCTCACTAGAAACTTATCAGAGCCTTTAAGTGCTTCTCTGTTTCTTCTTTCTCTCCTCAGTTTTGCTAGCATCTACTTCTGCCCAATATTTTATGAAGGAAATGCTTTGTGGCAGCACTAGAACAGCTATTTTAAGCAGGAGCTCCCTGCAGTCGAATCAGGCCACCACTGTCTTGCTCAGTTTCACTGTCCCTCTCTGAGGGAGAAAGGAGCAGAAGCCTCTTTTTGGCACGCTCCCATCACCTGGTCTTCAGCGTTTAACTGTGCTGGGGACATGTTCTCTCTTTGTCCACAGTGCTTCTGCTCTCAGCTTTGGCTTTTGGGGCCTGAATCCACCTCCTCAAGTTCTGCCCTTCTGCTGACTAGAGAGAACCCCCCTCATGCAGGGAGTGAGAGGTCCTGCATGAGGAGAAAGATGAGGTCGTTGACTACCTGACACGGACAGAACTTGTCCCCCTTGTTCATGGGGGACAGCTGGAACCCCTGTTTGATCCTAAAAGAAGACAGTTCCCTGCTCAGACCAAGCAGCCTGGGAAGGTGCTTGGATTATTTCTCTTGCTTCTCCCTGGCAGTTCCCAGGAAGTGCTGGCAGTGCTGCCCACTGCTCTGTGGGCAGAGAGGGAAAGAGGAAGAAGAGTCTGAGATGAAGGGTGAGGTGGTGTTGTGCTGAGGACTGCGCTGAAACTGTGCTTGGAAGCTGTGACAGAGGCTGTTCTGGGAACACCACCATTACCCTAGTCATGCTGCTTTTCCTGACCTCTGACTGATCTCCCTCCTCAGTCCTGGTCTGCAGAAAATCCTTGTCTGCCTTCCCATTCCACAGCCAGGATGTGACCTTCTCTTCCAGCCCCACCTGGCCTAGGCCAGCTTTCCTTGGCAAGCATGTGCCTTGCTTCCCCATGAAGAGGAGTCTGCCCTGCATCCAGTGGACTATATTTCACATCAGAGGTTTGCAGCATGTGTTCTGCTTCCTGCTGCATTGCTGTAACAGCTTGTTCCACCAATATATTTTACCAAAAAAAGATGCTGAGAGACAGAAAGTATTTACATTTAAAGTAGTCTGTGATTAATGAGGCACCTCTGAGAGATGTCCCATGGGGCCTGTGACTCCTCTCTTCTCTCAGAGGAATTTCTGTTCCACCTACATTCTGTCACCACCCCAGAATCCTTTTGGAGGATGGGAATGGTGGTTAGAGGCATCCTGGAACACAGTTAGCAGGCCTGGAGAGGGAAACGGTTTGACTGTCTTGTCCTATTTGACACATTGCCATAAAGTTATTTATGCTTCCTGCTTAGGACCAAATGAGATAATGAAGTGTAAACAGAGATAGAACTCCATTCATCTGAGGTTCTCTGTAGCTTGGAAATGGTATTGGTTTGTTTGTGAAGCAGCCACAGTCTCTTCTGTCTCCCTGTCTTTCCTTTAAGTGCTTTGTTTCTGTCACAGGTCATCAGAGCCCTTAGCTATGAATCCCTGCTCGTCAGCCCTTCCCCTTCCCCTCTTGACCCTGGTGCTTTGTACCCTTTCACACACAGTCATTATCTTCTGATTCTTCTGCCTGTCCTTCAGGGTGAGTGACACGAGATGTGCTGCAGGAGATAGTCAACTCACCTGTGACAAAAGCTCTGCAAATGGACTATCTGTGACAGCATAGGAGAACTGGAAAAGTGTCATTAGTTCTCCTTTATAAGGCCTTGGTTTTCCATAGCAGAGCCTGGGACATGTTGCAGAGGATCCATGAGTAGGCTGTCACACACTGCAATGTATGATCTCAAGATGAGGAAATCCCAGTGGGACAGTGTTGGTATACTCTGGAAATACTAGACCTGACTGCATGAGGCACTGTGGTAACCCCCCAGTGCTGTATCCTGTCTTCCAAGCAGAGTAAACACTTGCTTTTTCCAGACCCCTTTTCTCCCATTCTGTCCCTGTACCTTGAACAATCAATTTACCTCTTAACTTTTGGCCAGTCCAGGCAATTCTGCTGTGTCAGAAACATCAACCTCCTGGAAATTGAAACATTCCTGGTGGATTTCCACCCCTCGCAGAAGTAGAGTTCCAGCTCCTTGAGCTCCCCACCACCTTTAAGGTGTTCAGTTATTGGGTGTTGCCATTTAATGGCAAAATTGATGCAAGTTTTGTTCTGTGATGCCCTGCTGCGATTGCAAGGCACTACAGTCTGCAAGCATCCAGACTCGGACGGTCAGACCCACCTGCTGAAGCAAGATCTTCTCCTGAGCTGTGCTCCTTGAGGAGATCAGGGTGAATGTACACAATATTCCTGCCTCGTTGTTCCAGGAAAAAGAGAAACCCAAGCTATGTGTGCATTTTGGAGAAGAGCCATGTATCCCCCATGAGACAGTGTTATCCTTTGGAGATTGGTGTATAAGTTCTACACTTTTAGTACCTTTCTTTTTGTAGGATCCAATGGAGAAAGCTCTACTCATGGAAACACTTTGCCAGGATAGTTGGGATGATGTCTTCGGGAAGGCAGCAATTCCTTTTCCAGTTGGAAGACTGCCACAGTACTTTTTTTCTAGTGCAAATCAATTCTTTCTGAGCCATAGGTGTAGGAACTTGCTGTGTTGACTGATGTGGGTGCTTGAAAGCACACACAAGTACCAGGAACCCACAGTTATGAGAATATGTATATGTAGTTTCAGCACTAATTCACTTTTTCTGACACTGATAGGAAAAAACATGTGCTACCTGCTCTATAGCTGTGGTGGTAGTGGTTATTTTGACAACCTGATTACTGGTCTACAGAAGCAAAACCCCAAGTCCTTGACAATTCTTTGTAGAAATGCTTCTGCCAAAACCAGAACTGGGTTTGATCTGCAGTCTGAAATATTTGACTAGAACATCAAAGTGGCTTAGGAGAGGAAGGGTTACTTGGTAGAACCGATGTTGCAATTTACCTGATTCTTTTCCAACTCTAGATATTTCTGACATGGATGTTGTAATCTCATTTCTAAATACCCATATTTCCTAAATACTTGGCATTTGGCCTTGTTTGTCGTTGGATTCTTCTGAAAAGTCAGTAGTTACCTAATCCCTTTGTCACTAAACAGTCACTGAATCATGACAATGGTCCTCTATACCTATTTATATATGCTTACAGGAAATAGGACCATGATCTAAAGGCTGTTCTGATCAGTATTAGTGTGCAGGAAATTTGTGTAAATGTCTTTTTGGTGGTTACTACAGTATAACTAAGCTGTTAACAATAGTGCTCTTCCAAATCATTAAATCTCTTTACAACTCAGCAACAATGACATCTTAGTTTATTCTGTTGGTGCCTGCTGCCTTGCTCAGTTTAAGGGCCTAATCCAACCACAACTGAAGTTGAAAGAGATGTTTTGGTTGGACTTGACTGGCTTTCATAGAAGTAAAGTTTTTTTTGGACACACTGGCTATAGTATTTCTCCCTTGAACAGAATTTTTAAAGGTTGAAGATATGGGTGAAATCTGTTACTTGCAGGAATTCTTTGAGGTCTTCACCCTTCCCTTCTTCCCCCACCACCCATCCCTGACTGTAAGAGAGAACAGCCACTCTTCTGTCCGGCTTGAAGGTGGTTCTTTTAAAATCAGATAAAAACTTATAGCCAAGCTACCAATACTGGGAGTTATGTGCTTGCTGGAATGTTTCATGAAGAAAGACTGGTCAGCACCACAGTGAAGCTACCTTGGGTTTGGAGGTATCAGGGTACATGGCTGGTGACAGTGGGGACTTAGAGGTCAGGGAAGGGGCTAATGAGCTTGAGTGAGTCCATTTTCTGTCGTCCAGGAGGATACTGATTTTTAGGAAGCAGAATGACCTAACATCAGAAAAAGAGGTCCCGTGTGATATCTCAGATCAAACACCCAGAATAAATTAATTTTCAGTCCAAGACTTACATTGTGCTTGTGCACAGGATGTGTCCTTTTCTATCCCATAACTGCTTTGTGTAGACAGTCCCACCTAAGGAGGGAAAAATGAAGCACCCAGCTATTTACCTGGCTTATAGTTGGTAATCTAAGTAGTATGAGCTTCCTGCTATGTCCCTCTGGAACAGGGCATAACAGAGGAAAAAAGGCTGGGATAATTGGCATGATCTTGGGCAAAGACTGATACAAAGCCAATATATTTGTGACTGTGCACAGATAAGATCTTACACTTAAATAGCACTTCTTATTCAAAGGGGTCACTGAAGAAATGATATGCACACAAGCTTTATCTCTATTGGAATGGTGTCCCCTGAGGCAGTGCTGAGAAACCATTCAGAACAGCATCACTTGGTTTCTCAGGACAGGAATTGAAGAATGCTTACTTCTTGCTTAAAATTCCAAAGTGACTAAGCTCTGGAAGTACAAACAGTAGCTCTTTGCCTGTCACCAAGTCACTGGGAATAGGCCTTTTCCCAAGAGCAGCCACAAAGTCTTTGATGATGGCTCTAGTTTGGGCTGTATGTGTTAAATCACATTCAAGCCCTAGTCCCTGAAATAGTGCAGTGCCCTGAGCTGTGCTTGCTGTTGAGTCAGACACCACTTCCTGCAGAGCTCAGGTTCTCCTGTGGGATCTCTGCTCAGCACTGCCCACACCCTGTCCTGCTGTGCTCTGAGAAGGGCAAGGCATAGCCTGGGGCCAGGTGGTTGCCAGCTGTGCTTATGGTTTTTGTTTCTAAGGCTACCAAAATGATGCTTTCCCATCCAAAAAGCAGCCAGATGACTCTCCCTCCACCCCCTTTTCTTGCTTGTACACAGTTATACTGGTCAGGGCCTGCCTCTGAGTAATTTCCTTGCCTTCTCTGAAGGGGGTGTCATCTTAGAAAGAAGCGTGACACATGGTTTCGGTGCAAACTTATGAAAAATGTCCTTAAATAACCAAGATAGTTGTTGTTGTTGAAAATAGTTGTTGAAATCTTATTCTTTAGAGCTGTAGTCTCCAAAATTTTTGATATTTTGACATACTCCTTTTGCTTGACAGTTGCCATTATAGGAAGAACATCCTTAGTACATCCATTGTGTAAACACTATCCATTATTCCAGTGCCCCATTCAGGAATTTTTTTCAGCTGGGTGCTTCTGATACCTGCAGGAATGTCCTTACACTCTTTGTTGTCACTTCACTGAGATGGTGTCTGTAAGGAAACACGATCCAAGATGTTTTAGGTACTTAATCTGTGCAGTGATGTTAACAAAGAGAGCAGCTGCAGGTATGTAGTACTTGATGCCATTCCCTTTTGTCCTGTCTCTTGTTGCCTGGGAGAAGAGGCTGACCCACACCTGGCTACTGTCAGGTAGTTGTAGAGGTCAATAAGGTCCCCCCAAGCCTCCTTTTCTCCAGGTTACACACCCACAGCTCCCTCATTACTCCTTGCAGGACTTGTTCTTTAGACCCTTCACCAGCTTTGTTGCTCTTCTCTGGACATGCTTCAGCACCTCAATGTCTTTCTTATAGTGAGAGGCCCAACACTGGATCAGAATGAAAGAAGAGTGAAGATGTGACAGAATCAGCACCATTTTACACCTTTATACTGTGGTAATGCAATGGAGAAGCATCAACTCCAGCACAAAGAGTCTTTTTCCTGACATCTCCTGTTCTGAAGGTGCCAATTCCTAGCACAGGAGTCGCGGCCAACCTGTTGCCTGTAGGTTGTTTCTGCCGTGGAGGTCGACAAGAAGGCAGTTCCTGCATTGAACCAGCTCCATTCCCAGCCATTATATGCTCCATACTGAAGTGGCCACAGGCCATCTGTTTATCAAAGCAATGATGAAGGGAGCAACTCCATTCTTAGAAGTCCCAGCTGACAAAAACAGCTTGTTCTTTGTTGTAATTAAGAAACATTCCAGTTGGACAGTCCGGGTTTCAGATACTAATTTCTCCAAAGCATCTGTAGTCCAAGAAAATCTCTCCAAATGAGAAAATGCTGTACCACAACTGACCTGCTCATATTTTAAATAGTGTAATCATTGACACTAGAGGTATATTGAAAAATTTGGTAATTAAGACTGAGCTGTGATATTTATACCAGATTTTATACAGCTATAAAATCTACAGCTAATATTTCTGGCATAGATTACACTCACAATACAAGTGCAAGTGGTTTCTTAAAAAGCTGAACAAAGGGGAAAATGTGAGAGCGGAGGCAGGGGGATGTTGCTCAAGAGGGTTCAGAACATTAAAATGGAAAAGCAACAAAGGCAGCACTAAATTCCCAAGCCAGTGGAAAAGTTGAAATATTGACATAATAATTGACATAGCTAACTTAAAAATATCATGTCAGCTGTTAACCATTCTAGTACTAAAAAAGAGTATTCAGTTCTTGCCTCAGAAGTTGAACACTCCAGTGATGATGATGATGATTGTGGCTGAGTAGAAGCAGCAAAGAGGTCTTGTACTAGAACATACTCAAAGTCAGTACTTTGAGAAATTGCATGTTGAAGGAGGACCTGAAAGACACAAATATTTCATATAGAACTTTTACAAAAATATTTTTAGATAATGTTTATACTGTACAGAACTAGACTTTTAAACAATATCTATTTCTAAAATGTTCATCTAAATACTAGAAAGGCAAGTGTTCAACTAACCCCTTAGGAATATTCACCAGTTTTGCACTCTTACCTTTCTGGACAAGAAGTGCCAGGACAGTTAGAACATCAAGCATGGAAGATGAGAAAAGAGCCAAGATTTAGGGAGTGTTTTCCAGAATGCTTGTGTCATCCCAAGTGAAATATTGTCAAACAAAACTTGGTCAAAAATGTGGTGTAGTAGGTCTGGGTTTTGTAGTTTTGCAACAGTGGTGAAAAGTACAGGTTAGAGACCATGGTCACTGCCATGGGAAGGGGTACAGCCTGTTGGAAGTTATGTAGATGAAAGAGTGATTTTAATAGATCAATGCAAAGTTTTACGTCAGCAGAATTGAGAAAGCCTTGGAAAAAATCTGCACTTTTAAAGTGCATTTGCTGTTTACAAAATATAGCTAATCTGAGTGAGTGGGAGCAGTCAATATTGAACATAATGATGAAGAGTAAAAAGAGAAGCTATTTGTATTTCACAACTCTCCTGCCACTGTTTTAGAAGAAAATATGAACCTTACATAAGGAAGCGAGCTAAACAAAAAATATGAACATATTCTTTTTTTGTTGTTGCTTCCAGGACAATATGGTGCTTAGCACAAAATTATTTAAAATATTTTTATATAGTATGCCTACTGAATACCTGATGCTTACAGTTAATATCTGTAAAATATTATCCACCCTAACACTTTCATTACAATCCTCTAATTCAGTGAAATCTCTGAAGGTTGATCAAAAAACTGGGAAATGGAACTGTCCAGCCCATATAGTTTCTTCCCCTTTCTCTGAGGAAGCTCCTCTTTCTTCTCCCACCTCTTGCATTTGATGGTGTAATAACTGTGGTAAGTTCAGCAGAGTCCCAGGGAAGGTTTGTAATTCAGATCCACAAAAGCCAGACTTTTGTAGGAGACCATGTAAGTCACTTGCTGCTTGCAAGTCTGGTGACAAGCACAGTGACCATGGTGTTATTTCTGTGGTGTTAGGAGTGCACCAGGGTGTCAGAACTGGGCACAAGGGTTGCAGGCTGTCACGGTGAGTGGATGGAGACGCTTGTAAGGAAAACCTCAAGCTGTCATTAAATATTAAATACTGTGAGAAACTGTTAGGAAGGATGGGGGTTACCCAGTGGAGGTGAGGGCAGGTACAACCCACAGGGTCTGTGAAGGTAGATAGGAGTGGGTTGAGTTCATGAACCATCCCCATGGAGGGCCAGAGAAAAAGCCACTCTGGTGCAAAGCTCAGGCAGGGGTTGCTTTGACTCCGTTCTCATTTGGCAAATCCCTTGTTATTGCAGGGGCCTGGATTTCATGTGGGCAGCACCATTTGCCTTTCTTGCTCCCTCCTTATGGGACCATAGGTGTTGTCTCTCCTGTTACAGACTGTCAGCTCCCTGAGAGCCTGGGGAAGTGTCTGGGCATAGAGCTGAAGAGTCCTGGGACAGAAACTCTGTGGACATCAGTGGAGGAAAATCTTTGTTGTAAAGCTTCCTGCAGTTTTAGTGAGAGTGGTGTTGGTGGCTGCCATGTCCTGTCCTCACTCTGTCTGTGCCATGGAAGGTAAAGTTGCAGAGAAGAAGAAAATGAGCAACTGACTCAGCTTTGTTTATGGCCTTCCCTAGTGCAGCTGCCTGGAATGGCGTGGGACTCCTGCTTGACTCTGATACTTGCTCGTTTTGATGGTGTCTGGGCTTGGGACCCTCAGCTGTACAATGTAGTGTCCATGTCATTGGTGTCCTGTGTCCCACAGCACAGGAAACAGTGCCTGCTAATAGAGTTAATGAGTTTATTCATTAAAGCATGTTTTGGGGAAATTAGTACATGGCAGCTTTTCCTATTGTCTTCCTGGGCACAGCTGTGGAGTCCATCTCTGTGGCACAGAGGCAAGTTCTCCTCACTGGTGGTGTTGAAATTGTTGCGTTGTATTTTTGGTCCAAACACCCCTTACCACGGTGTCCGAACAACTGTGAGGAGCTGCTGCACCAGGATGTGGTCAGGCTCAGAGGCACACAGGCTGATGAATATCACATTCTACCTCTTTAATTGCCACCCCACACAAATCTTTTTTTGGCAAATAAATCAAGGAGGGAGGTTGGTGCATGATTCATTATCATAATGCTCAGTACAGGGAAGGCAGGAGCGGGCAGGTGGAGACAGGACTTTCAAATGCTGTGGGAGCAGCTCCCTTTGCAGCTGCCTGGAGTTGACCAAAGCTTTCTTTGAGGCTGGCAGTGGGTCTTCTGTTCCACATTTTACTGAAGGACCTGGAACAGCAAAGCCCAATATTTTTGGTGTAGGGTCTCGCTGTCATCACCTCTTGCCTGCAAAATGGGGTGATGGTGTCTGGCCACATTGGCACCCAGTGATGTACAGTAGCCAGAAAAAAACATGTGTGAGGCCTAAACTCACCTTTGCTTGCAGCTTTTGTTTCTGTTTGACAAATAACTACAGCTAAACTAATAAATTGGAAATTAAATATTTCATATGGAAATATTTAAAAAAGGAATGTGTGGTGGTGCTCTTCCCTGGAGTTAGCTGGTGAAAGCATTGCTAGGTGAGGCTCAAGACCCAGTTTCAAATCCCCTCTCTGTGTTTAGATGCAGAATCTGGATTTAAAAGTCCCTGATGCCACAGGAGGGCCTTGTCAGTTGACTGTGGGATGTTTTGTAATGCATTTTTCTGCTTTTCTAGCCAAGTCCTTGTGGAGGTGGGTGCAGTCACAGGGGACAATCTGTCACCAGTCTGAAAGATGACTAGGCCATCTCCAGTGTGCTGGAACAGCTGTCACTGGGCAGTCATGCCATTGCAAAACATTCTGTTCAGCTGCGTATACCTTACTCATAAGTAGATGTTCCTTTTCCTCTAATTACCTCAGTGCTGTTGTTACTCCCAAGCACCTTGGAAGACTAGTAAGTAGTAATAACTACTGATACTTGTGGGAGAAATCAAGGTTAATGCATAGCTCATTAGGAGAGCTCCAGGAGGAGCACAGAAAGGTGGTTTTGTCTTGTACAAAGCATAAAGCTCCTGTGGGTGAGTCTGAACGCAGGCTCAGAAGACAAACACTTTGGTTCCTGGGTATTGGACTCTGTGTGGTCAGAGAATGGCAGAGCAATACTTACAAGATGAGCCTCTGTGGTTTGTTTTACTTCTATATTTATTTTGGTTTGCTAAATATCTGTATAAGAAATAATGTGACCAGCAGGACTAGGGAAGTGATTCTTCCCTTGTGTTCAGCACTGGTGAGGCCACCCCTTGAATGCTGTGTCTGGTTCTGGGCCCTCAAATTGAGAAAGGGCATTGAGGTGCTGGAGCAGGTCCAGAGAAGGGCCAGGGAGCTGGTAAAGGGTCTGGAACAAAAATCTTATGAGGAGCAGCTGGGGAAGTTGGGGGGGTTTAGCCTGGAGGAGTTTTGAAGACTCTTTACCACTCCCTACAGCTACCTGAAAGGAGGCTGTAGATGGATAGGGGTTAGTCTCTTCTCCCAGGTAACCAGCAACAGGACAAGAGGACATAGTCTTAAGCTGAGCCAGGGCAGGTTTCGGTTAGACATTAGGAAGAATTTCTGCACAGAAAGGGTGACTGGGCACTGGAATGGGCTGCCCAGGGAGGTAGTGGAGTCACTCTCCCTGGAGGTGTTTAAGGAAAGGCTGGACATGGCACTTAGTGCCATGGTCTGGTTGACATGGTGGACTCCATGACCTCAGAGTCTTTTCCAACCTACTTGATTCAGTGATTCTATGATATCTAGACGTTTTTGAAACAAAATGGAAGTTCCAAACTGGTGTTGAGTCAAACCCTTGGTCTGGCTGTTGGTATGTGGAAATGAGCTGGAGTGGTCAGGATGAGCTGTATCCCTCCAACCTGGTTTGTGTGCCATACCTCAGACCTCTTTCCTGTCTTGTGAGGAGTTTTGTGTCTTCCCGTTGTGCAGAGGCAGCAAAATGAAAAACAGAGTGAGCTGCACCTTTGCACAACACAGTTGCGTGAGGAAGTGTTTCTGGGCAAGAACACAGTGGGATGTTTGTGTTGCCACTGGAGCCCTTGGGTTTCTTTCTGCTTTTTTCCTTACTGATGATGAAGACTCTAGTCTTGTGATTTTTAACACAGGTGTGAGAGTGGCCTTGTGTGCTGCTTGGAGCCTGAGTCTCCAACACCACTTCTCAGTGCTGCCATACCTGGCCTTCTGGGGCTCCCTCATTCTGGAAAGTGTGTGACTCTGTGTGTTCTGACATGTGAGGGTAGCACAGGTGATACGCACTCAACCATAGCTTCTGAAAGTGCAACTCTGGGGCTTCCTGGCTGCACATCTGATCCTTCTCCTCCTTTTGCCCTTCTCTAAGAGAAGAACAGGCTCTCGTACTGCTGTCCATCCATGTGATGTTCTTGCTGAGGCTTGCTCTAGTCTGTGGCATTAAAAAGCTAGGAAGGACATCCCCTCTTATCACTGTGCTGGGGCAAGAACACAGTTGTTTTCACATAGAACTCTTGCAGTCTGTTTGTAAGACATGATATAATTGAAAAGTCTGGCACATTTCCCACAGCAAACATTGTTAATCCCCACTAGCTAGGATTAGTCACCACTTCTTACAAGCCTTGACACAAATCTAGCAAGTTATTCAGTTAATCCGCACTTACAGGATAAATATTGCATCCCATGGGAAATTAGGCAGCGTCTTCTTCCTCTCCTATTGTACAGTGATGCATTGTGCCCTTTACACCTGAAGGTGGAAGGGAAAAATGCAATAATGTGTGATGGATGTTAGCAGACACCTGCTATCACAATGCAGCTGGATCAGCAGGGAAATTTAGTACAAAATAGCTCACTGAAACCAGGCAGGGGATATAAACAGCATCTCTGTGCTCTTCATGGCACTGCAGAATTTTCCTGTTATGCAACAACAAGCACTCAGAGCTGCAGGACTCTTCTAAGTGTCCCATCTTCCTTTTGACTGGGAGTTTTCTCCTTGTGGGATCTCAGGCTGTATCTCATTGGAGTTGGGTGGTGTATTTCCCACCAAACTGAGGTCACTGAGATGAAGGTGTTTCAGGCTCTGCACTTTTGCGGTATCCAAAGTGCAGCTCCAAGTTTCCTCACGGACAATCTCCAAAACAGCAAGATGATACTTAGGAGGTGACCTGAGATCCTATTTTTCTGAGAAAAATAGCTGAGTGGATCGGCAGACA